ATATCTTACAGGGGACAGTGACAACTGTTCAGCTGGTGAGATCTGTGTTTGGTTGTGGCCGAGACTTGGGATCATGTCCCGCTGTCACCAGAGTTAAGGAGTTATAGTAGGGAGATGAGATAACTCAAGCAAATTAAAAAAAAAAAAAAGAGGTTGTACATTGGTATTTAAATTTACAAGTGGATATACAAGCCCACCTGGTCTCTTAACTCTCAAGTAATACGAAAATAAAATAAACAACTAATAAATCTATTAATTTTCTATGATTAGAGTCGTATGATTAGGATGGAGGTTGGACGTGGGAGACCTCTTGGGTGGGGAATATATATAATTGGTCTGGTGGGTCTAGCCCCCAAAATGCTGGCATACACAGCATCATCCATACGTAACCCTCGAATTATTTATAAAACACATAGGTCTGAATTTAGAACATGCCCATTGTAAATATGGTTAATTTCTACAAGCCTATAAGTGTAGTTAGGATGATCAGGACAACTTAGTTGTCTTGACATCCATTCACAGTGATTGATGAGTATGTATAGCCAATTTCAATTCCAAATTTGGAAAAGAGAAATAAAGGAAGACATGGAGATGGTGGTGGTGGTGTTAGCAGGGTAGGGTGGTATTAGCATTTTGGAGTGGTGAAGGGGAGGGTGGTTAATTATTGCCCATATATAGTCAGAGAGAGAGAGAGAGAAAGAGAGAGAAGGAAAATCCAGCACAAGAATTATGCAACAAGGTAGCCGCCAACTGGATGGTATTGTGTAATTGTTTCACTAGAGGCAGTGTGGTCCTCTATCTATATCTATATGCACATAATAACAAAATTGATTTAATTTGTTCTTGTAAATGTTATTAGGTTTGGTTAATTCTTACTGGGAGGAGCGTAGGATTAGGAAGAGGAGGAGGAGGGTCTCTCATCTGAATAAATGGAGTGGGAGCTGGGAGAGGGAGAGGTCCCCCATCAATTGATAGATAGTCATAGATAGCCTTTATCTTTAATGGACTTTGATGTGTAAACTTGTGATATTTTTGTTTATCTCGAGATTTGTTCATCTTCTTCTTTGGATGTCTGTATCATGTTTACAGATATACCAAAACTGTAGAGCAGAATGTTGATTAGGTCAAGCAGGGATAGCTAGTTAGAGGTGGGGAACTGGCCGGGGATGCCATAATCATAATCATTATAATCATCATCATCATCATCATCATCTTTTATATCTATATATATTATGCAAATGGGTGGATGGAGCATAAGGTCCAATTCATACCATAAGAGGTACAGATGTGGAGTATCAATTCATGCAGCCAATTCTAGGGATAGGATGGTCCCCCTTCCCCATCCCTTCAACCTTAGCCCTTAGATTGAGCATTTATTCAAACATGCATTACATCAGTTCAAATCAACGATCCATCCATCCATCCATCCATCCAGAATCAAACAATCCCTTGTTTGAAATTTCAAATGGGAGATCAAATTGTTAAGGGATAAGATACATCATTGTGCATGTACCTACAATTAAACTCACCCCCTCGACCCTCGTCAAGTGGCAACTCCAATTCAATATCCAGATACATAAACAACACTCAATAGAACGAAAACAGTAGAGTGAGAAGACCGCTCGCCCCCTCCGATATCGTCTGTATTGTAAATATAAAGCTCTCCGCGCCTCTCCCCTTTATTACAGTTAAGGGCAGCCTCATTATTAATTGCATTTGCCCATCCTTCACCTTCCCACTTACTATTTTATCTCTCTCCCTTTCGTCAAATTGTTTGTTTTTGCAACTTTTTGTGTGAAAGGAGGGGTGGTGACTGGGTGAGAGGGACAGCGACAGAGACGCAAGTGTGGGGCGGGATTCTGACTATACCGATTTGAGTTCGGCCCCTCCCATCCCAATTGCAAGATTAGGTAGAATCTCATATTATTTGTTAACGATTGAAGGTGGGGTGCAGGTTTGGAAGATCAAGGTGCCACGTGTTATAGTTCCTCGTATGGGTGACAAGCACGATGTTAGTTTTCATGATGGACTCTCATGATAAATACCCTCCCCTCTCATTATTGAAAGATAAGACAGGAGATGTGCATCTATAAACCATTTGTACGGCCCCCCTGGGTCCCACTCCCTCCCCCCGCCCCCCG